CCCCCCAATCTACCCTTCCCCCAGCCCTCCCCCACATGCCCCTCCCCCAGCCTCCTCTTCCACCGGAATCAACCCCTCCCCCAGCCTTCCCCTCTACCCTAACTTACCCTCCCAGCATCCCCACATCCCTCTCCCCCAGCACCCCATCTACCCCACCCTCAGCCACCCCTCCCCCCTAATCTACCCCCTCCCTCACCCCCTCTATAGTAATTGTACCCTGTCCCCAGCACCCCCCTTCCTTTTCCCCTCTACCCTAATGTATCCCTTCCCCACGCCCCCTCACGCCACCTTTACCCAGCCCCGCCCCATAGCCCACCCCAGGGCACACACCCGGCGCTGACCTTGCCAGCGTAGTGGTGGATGATGAAGCCCTTGTTCCAGCTGTTGAAGTGCTCGTGGGTGCCCACGGCCATCTGCAGCTTCTGCAGCAGGCTCTGGTCGGCGCCCTCACCCTTGGCGTGCATGGTGGCGCACACGTCATCCAGGATGCTCATGAGCCCCGGCGGGTTCTGGGGGGGGAGAGACACCAAACTGCTCAGCCAGGAGCGGGCGCCACTCCCCAGCCCCTCTGCTCCCAGCGCTGGCCAGCAGGAGAGCCAGCACCCCCTCCTGGCACTGCAATGAGGCAGGGTTTGGGGTTCCCCCACAGCACTGAACAGACCCCGATTAAGGGAGAGGAACTGGGGGTACCCTTGGCTCTGGGGAGATCCCAATTAAGGGGCAGCTGGGGGGTGTCCTCCACATTGCTGGGAGACCCTGATTAAGAAGGGGACTAGGAGAGGTCGCTAGGGAGACCCCAGGTCACAAGGGAGACCCCGATTAAAGGGGAGACTGGGGGGCAGAGCCCCCCCCCAGCTCAGAAGGATGCGGGAGGGGGGCAGTTAGGGGGATCCAGGTTCCACGGGGATCAGAGACTCAAGGCGGCAGGGGTCCCAGGCTTGGGGGAGGGGTCACACAGGTTGTCTTCCCCCGAGGCCTGAGGTATTTGGAAGGGGGGAGCCCGGCCGCTCGCTCACCACTTTGCTCTCGATCAGGTCGCAGACGATTTTGTTGTTGAAATAATCGATGGGGCTCCACCGAATCCCTTCCTGGACGTACTCCTCCTGGGGGGGGGGCGGGTTGTGAGTGGGGGCTGGGATGGGGGCAGCCCCACATCTTGTGGGAGAGCAGGGGTTGGGCTCTGCCCATGTCCGAACTCTGGGGGGGGGCACCCCCAGCTGCAAGTCAGTCGCAGGTGCTGGTAGTTGCAGGTGCCGGCCACCAGAGGCAGACACGAGTGCTTAGACTGCACAGCCCACAGAGACTCCAACAGGGCCGGGGGCTGCGCTGTGCCAGGCGCTGTACAAACACCGAAGGGCCCAGTAGGCAACAGGTGGCAGGGGAAACTGAGGCACAAAGGGGGGAAGGATCTTGCCTCAGGGTCAATGGCAGACCTGGGAACAGCACCCAGGGTCCTGGGCCCCAGCCCAGTGCCTCGTCCACTGGGCCACGCTGCCTCGCAACCCCATTGACTGACCTCCCCCACCCATTCCCACCCCACCCCAGCTCCTCCCCCACCCCACCGCCTACTCCTCCCCCACCCCATCCCTCCCCTTACCCAACCCCTGTCCCTCATCTGCCCCCACTCCCACCTCACCGCCTGCCCCTGCCCCTCCTCTTGCCCCTTCCCTTTTCCCACCTCACCCCCTGCCCCTCACCTGCTCTGCCTTCAGCGTGAGCTCGATGAAAATCTGCTGCAGCTTCTCGTTCACAAAATTGATGCAGAATTGCTCAAAGCCGTTTTTCTGCGGGGTGGGGAGGCGGGGGGAGAGACAGACAGACCCATCAGGCACCCAGGGGCCACGCTGGGCAGGGCCGTGCGGCATGGAGGGTTCCCCACCCGTGGGAGGCAGAGCGTGACCAAAGGGGGCTCTGGCTGGCTCAGAGCAGCGGAAGGGGGTGTCACAGAGAGCTGAGATGGGCCGAGGGCGGCAATGGGGCATCCTTGGCACTGAGCTCACGCGCTGTCTGTCGCCCCCCCATGGCTCCCAGCCCCTGGGGGAGAAGGGGTTTGCAAATGGTTGGTGGAGGGGGGATCCCAGATCTTCTCAACATGCTTCTCCTCTTCTGCTGGCCCGAGCCCCCAAAAGCTGGGGAACCAGGAGGGGACCTAGGAACCTGAAAGCCCAGGATGGTCTCTCTCACGCCCCTGCCCTGTGGTACCTGGAAGATCTCGAAGCCGTAGATGTCCAGCACCCCAACATTATATTCCTCGTAGTCCTTCTGCATCGCTTTGTTGACGGCCTGGGGGCAGAGCAGAGAAAGGGGGGGTGGGGAATTCAGGGGCTTGCCTGGAAAATTACAGGCCAAAACTCCAGCCCCAGTGTGTGGGGGGGTGACGGAGACCTGGAAGGGTCACTGGTGTGCGGGATGAAGTGGGGTGAAGGGGGATCAGACACCAAGTCCCCAGAGAGAGAGCAGGTGGGGCCCGGCGGCTGAGCTGGGCAGCTCGACACCGGGTGTAGAGGGTTCGCTGGGTGTGCCAGGGCTGGGCCCACGGGCCGGGTGACTCACATCCACCAGGTAGTCGAAGAGCCGTGAGTAGAGCGCCTTGGCGAGGGCGTCACGGGTGAAGCTGGCCTGCTCGGCATTGAGCGTCACGTCGATCACCTCCGACTTGCCGCCCCACCGGCTGTCCATCTTGCGGCTGGTCAGCTTCTCCTTCAGCCGGCCCTGGTCGATGCCCAGGAGGTAGGAGGGGAAAGCCAGGACTGGGGAAGGCGAGGGTAAGTGGGGAGGGTGTCAGGGACAGCACCCCAACCCTGTCTGCCTCTCAGCAGGGCTCCCGCCCCTTCGCCCCAACCCCGGCTGCTGGATTCGCCTCCCCTCTCCCTCCCGCCTGCCTCCAAGGTGGGTGGGGTATCGGCCTCCTTGGCCCCTGCACATCCAGAGGGGCCGGTGGAGCCCCATCCCCACGGGACCCTCCTCCCCAGAGGGAGAGGATGGGAGGGGGGAAGGAAACAGGAGAAGGTGGGGTCCCCCAAAGGATGGAGGCAGATCCCTGGGGCACACAAGTCAGGCCCCACCCCCACATCAGGTGCCCGACAGACCCCCCCCCCACTGAGGTCCCTTCCAACCCTGATATTCTACGATTCTATGATTCCAGATCCACTCTGAGCCAGACCCTGACAGGGCCGCCCCAACCCCAAGCCAGGCCCCAAAGGGGGCACCCCCAGGCCCCGAGCCAGGCTGCAACATCCCCCCAGGCCCCACGGCAGGCCCTGATGAGGACCCCTCTACACCCATCCCCACCCCAGAGCCAGGCCTGACAGACCCCCCCACTCCAGATCCACTCTGAGCCAGACCCTGACAGGGCCCCCCACCCCAGTGCCCTCTGGCCCCCCCACTCACAGTCCTCGCTCTCCACGGCGGCGTAGTTGCCCTCCTCCCGGAAGCTGATGTTGCCTAGGTGAAGGATCCCAGCCACGATCTGCAGCACCAGGGCCTGCTCCTCCCCGGAGAGCCCCACCACCTCCATGGCCGTCTGGGGACAGGGAGCAGGGGGAGGCGTCAGGCTGGGGGCGCTGACGCCAGGCTGGGAATGGGTGTGGGGTGTGGTGGGGGGATGGGAGCTCAGGGGCCCAGGATGGGGAGTTGGGGGAGCACCAGGATGGGGGGAGCACTGGGTGGGGGATGGGGAGCGCTATAGCGGGGGGGCACCAGGATGAGGGTTGGGGGATGGAGAGCAGTAGTGGGTTGGGGGCTCTATGGCGGCAGAAGCGGGGGGCAGCAAGACGTGGGTTGGGGGATGGGGGCACGGGGGGGGGGGGCCCGGGGGAACCGTGGGGGGGGGTGGGCTGCTTGCAGCGATCTGGCTGTATAAACGCCCCCGCCCCCCATACCAGCGTCTCGTG